TAGCATCACCTAAATATTCCTCCTAGCAACCTAAATATTCCTTCTAGCAACACCCTAAATATTCCTCCTAGCAGCACCTAAATATTCCTCCTAGCAACACCTAAATATTCCTCCTAGCAACACCCAAATATTCCTCCTAGCAACACCTAAATATTCCTCCTGCTACACCTAAATATTCCTCCCTAGCAACACCTAAATATTCCTCTGCAACACCTAAATATTCCTCCTAGCAACACCTAAATATTCCTCCTAGCCCTAAATATTCCTCCTAGCAACACCTAAATATTCCTCCTAGCAACACCTAAATATTCCTCCTAGCAACACCTAAATATTCCTCCTAGCAACACCTAAATATTCCTCCTAGCAACACCTAAATATTCCTCCTAGCAACACCTAAATATTCCTCCTAGCAACACCTTATCCTCCTCTAGCATCTGCATCCCGATTCTATTTTGGTCTGTCTGCTTCTGTCTATATCTCTTCTGTCTGTCTGTCTGGGTCTGTCTGTCTATCTCTGTCTGTCTGTGTCTGTATCTATCTCTGTCTGTCTATCTATCTCTGTCTGTCTGTCTATCTATCTATCTCTGTCTGTCTGTCTGTCTGTCTGTAGGTCTGTCTGTCTCATCTCTGTTTGTCTGCCTGTCTGTCTCTCTGTCTGTCTATCCGTCTGTCTGTCTATCTCTGCTTGTCTGTCAGTCTGTCTCTCTGTCTCTCTATCTCTGTCTGTCTGTCTATCTCTGTCTGTCTATCTCTGTTTGTCTGTCTGTTTGTCTCTCTGTCTGTCTGTCTCTGTCTGTCTATCTCTCTGTCTGTCTGTCTATCTCTGTCTTGTCTGTCTGTCTGTCTTGTCTGTCTTGTCTGTCTCTGTCTGTCTGTCTGTCTATCTCTGTCTGTCTCTCTGTCCATCTCTCTCTCTGTCTGTCTGTCTATCTCTGCCTGTCTGTCTGTCTGTCTTGTCTGTCTGTCTGTCTATCCGTCTGTGTCTGTCTATCTCTGTTTGTTTGTCTGTCTGTCTGTCTCTCTTCTGTTCTTGTCTGTCTTCTCTGTCTGTCTTCTCTGTCTGTCTTCTCTGTCTGTCTGTCTGTCTGTCTCTCTGTCTGTCTATCTCTGTCTGTCTGTCTGTCTATCTCTGTCTGTCTCTCTGTATGTTCTATCTCTCTGTCTGTCTGTCTGTCTATCTCTGTCTCTGTCTGTTGTCTATCTCTGTCTGTCTGTCTGTCTATCTCTGTCTGTCTCTCTGTATGTCTATCTCTGTCTGTCTGTCTGTCTATCTCTGTCTGTCTCTCTGTATGTCTATCTCTGTCTGTCTGTCTGTCTGTCTCTCTGTCTGTCTATCTCTGTCTGTGTCTGTCCTCTCTGTCTGTCTCTCTGTATGTCTATCTCTCTCTGTCTCTGTCTCTGTCTATCTCTGTCTGTCTGTCTGTCTTATCTCTGTCTGTCTTCTCTTGTCTATCTCTGTCTGTCTCTCTGTGTCTATCTCTGTCTGTCTGTCTGTCTATCTCTGTCTGTCTTTATGTCTATCTCTGTCTGTCTGTCTGTGTCTCTCTTCTGTCTCTCTGTGTGTCTATCTGTCTGTCTATCTCTGTCTGTCTCTCTGTATGTCTATCTCTGTCTGTCTATCCGTCTGTCTATCTCTGTCTGTCTGTCTGTCTATCTCTGTCTGTCTATTCTCTGTCTGTCTCTCTGTATGTCTATCTCTCTGTCTGTCTGTCTGTCTGTCTATCTCTTTCTGTCTCTCTGTATGTCTATCTCTCTCTGTCTGTCTGTCTGTCTATCTCTGTCTGTCTGTCTGTCTATCTCTGTCTGTCTGTCTGTCTATCTCTGTCTGTCTCTCTGTATGTCTATCTCTGTCTGTCTGTCTTGTCTATCTCTGTCTGTCTCTCTGTATGTCTCTCTCTGTCTGTCTGTCTTGTGTCTATCTCTGTCTGTCTCTCTGTGTCTATCTCTGTCTGTCTATCTCTGTCTGTCTCTCTGTATGTCTATCTCTGTGTCTATCCTCTTGTCTCTCTCTCTGTCTGTCTGTCTCTCTGTCTGTCTATCTCTGTCTGTCTCTCTGTATGTCTATCTCTCTGTCTGTCTGTCTGTCTATCTCTGTCTGTCTGTCTGTCTATCTCTGTCTATCTCTGTCTGTCTCTCTGTATGTCTATCTCTGTCTGATCTCTGTCTGTCTCTCTGTATGTCTGTCTCTCTCTCTCTGTCTGTCTGTCTGTCTTCTCTGTCTATCCGTCTGTCTGTCTGTCTCTCTGTCTGTCTATCTCTCTCTGTCTGTCTGTCTATCTCTATCCGTCTGTCTGTCTATCTCTGTCTGTCTCTCTGTCTGTCTATCTCTCTCTGTCTGTCTGTCTGTCTTCTCTGTCTATCCGTCTGTCTGTCTATCTCTGTTTGTCTGTCTGTCTGTCTCTCTGTCTGTCTATCTCTGTCTGTCTATCTCTGTTTGTCTCTGTCTGTCTTCTCTGTCTATCTGTCTCTCTGTCTATCTCTGTCTGTCTGTCTCTCTGTCTGTCTGTCCTTCTTGTCTCTCTCTGTCTGTCTGTCTATCTCTGTCTGTCTGTCTGTCTCTGTTTGTCTGTGTCTGTCTGTTCTCTGTCTATCAGTCTCTGTCTATCTCTGTCGTCTGTCTATCTCTTGTCTTTCTCTGTCTGTGTCTATCTCTCTCTGTCTTGTCTGTATCTCTGTTTTGTCTGTCTTGTCTGTCTTCTCTGTCTATCCGTCTCTTGTCTATCTCTGTCTCTCTGTCTGTCTGTATCTCTGTCTGTCTGTCATCTCTGTTTGTCTGTCTGTCTGTTCTTCTGTCTATCTCTTGTCTGTCTATCTCTGCTGTCTGTCTTCTTGTCTCTGTCTGTCTATCTCTGTCTTGTCTATCTCTGTTTGTCTGTCTGTCTGTCTTCTGTCTATCTGTCTCTCTGTCTATCTCTGTCTGTCTGTCTATCTCTGTCTCTCTGGTCATGGTCATTTACTCTCCCTCTTCCATTACTTCTCCCGTAATTTCCTTCCCTCTACTATCATCATCTCTCCCTCCCTCTTCCTTAATCTCTCCCCTCCCCTACTCTACCTCTCCCCCACTCCACCAACCTTCCCCTACTCCCCTCCCACTCCACTAACCTTTCCTCCTCCTCCCTCCACTAACCTTTTCCCTCCCCCTCCTCCCCCACTCCCCTGTCCTTCCCTCCCCTCCACTACTCTTTCCCTCCTCCCTCCCCACTCCTTAACCTTTCCTCTCCCCTCCCCACTCCCACCCCAACCTTTCCTCCTCCTCCCACTCCACTAACCTTTCCTTTCTCCCCTCCTCACCTAACCTCCTACTCCCCTCCCCTACCTTTCCCTCCTCCCTCCCTCCCTACCTTTCCCTCCTCCCCTCCCTCTCCACTAACCTTTTCCCTCCTCCCCTCCCACTCCACTCCAACCTTTCCTTTCTCCTCCTCCTCTCTTCCCCTCCCATTCACCCTCTCCTCGCCCTGCTCTCCCTCACCCCTTTCACCTCTCCCTCACCCTTCCTTCTCCTCCACCACCCCTCATCTCCTCCACCACCTCATCCTCCCCACCCCTCATCTCCTCCACACCCCTCATCTCCTCCCACCCACCCCTCACCCCCCTCCACCACCCCTCCTTCTCCCTCCACCACCCCTCATCTCCTCCACCACCCCTCATCTCCTCCACCACCCCTCACCCCCTCCCCCTCAGCATCAACACCCAGGCGCTAAATTAACGTAATGACGCAAAAAAACAAAACATTCACCCAAAAATTACGAAAAACACAAAATGTGATTCAGGTTTTGCATCAGAATGTGGCCATTTTGTCGCCCCTCGTCATATTTATGGGGAATTATTAATGTTGTTATCTTTTAACCTCCGTCACTATGACCTGTCTGTCTGTCTGTCTGTCTGTCTGTCTCCTTGTGTGTGTGTGTGTGTGTGTGTGTGTGTGTGTGTGTGTGTCTGTGTAAGGTCGCTGTGGACGTCCGTCTGTCCTTCTGTTTATCCGTGTGTACGACGTCTTTGTATATGTCAATGACTGTGTGCACGTATTTATGTATGTTTGTCTCAGTGTGTACGTATTGAGGTACGTTTTTCCCTATGTGTACACTTGTCCCAAACATCACTGTGGGTTGTAGTCATAGCCTGTGCTCTCCAGCCATGATGGTGAGTCGCTGGTGAAGAAATGTCACCAGGGAAAAATATCACGCCCGGATAAATCAGTCAGTCTTGTGAGTACGTGAGGCGGTGACTAACTATTGGTCCAACCATCAACCACCACTGACTCTCTCTTCATATATATACACACAGTATATGGACGGATGGAGAGAGGGGAATACACACAAAATAAACAAACCACATAAATACACAAGACATACCCCCAACATCTTGTTAACATTCATAATACAATACCTTCCCCAGCCGCCTCCTCCGACCTCGCCATGTTTGTCAGGAATATTCTCCAGACAGACAGCAGACCCATCAAATATTGCCCGGACTGAAGCCGAATTTTGGCGATTCTCTCCTGTCTCACTATCTAGTGTGTGTGTGTGTGTGTGTGTGTGTGTGTGTGTGTGTGGTGTGTGTGTGGGTGTGTGTGGAGGGTGTGTGTGTGTGTGTGTGTGTGTGTGGGTGTGTGTGTGTGTGTGTGTATGTGTGTGTATGTGTGTGTGTGTGTGTGTGATGATATTTTAGGTATATTTTCAGTATGGAGCATCGTCCTCCTCAGTGTGAGCCTCTTCCTCCCATCAGTGGAGCCTCGTCCTCCCTCAGCGTGGGAGCCCTCGTCCTCCCTCAGTGTGGAGCCTCATCCTCCCTTTTAGTGTGGAGCCTCTTCCTCCCTCTCCAGTGTGGAGCCTCATCCTCCCCAGTGTGTTCGTCCTTCCCTCAGTGTGGGCCTCGTCCACCCTCAGTGTGCAGCCTCGTTCCTCAGCGTGGAGCCTCGTCCTCCCCTCAGTGGGAGCCTCGTTCTTCCTCCTCAGTGGGAGCCTCGTCCTCCCCCTCAGTGTAGAGCCTCATTCTCCCTCATGGGAGCTCTTCTCCCCTCAGTGTGGAGCCTCGTCCTCCTCAGCGTGGGAGCCTCGTCCTCCCTCAGTGTGGAGCTCCTCCTCCTTCCAGTGTGGAGCCTCGTTCTCCCCTCAGTGTGGAGCCTCATCCTCCCTCAGTGTGGACCTCATCCTCCTCCTCAGCGTGGAGCCTCGTCCTCCCTCGTGTGGAGCCCGTCCTTCCTCTCCAGTGTGGAGCTTCGCTCCTCTCAGTGGGAGCCTCGTTCTCCCCCTCAGTGTGGAGCCTCATCCTCCCCTCAGTGTGGAGCCTCATCCTCCCCTCAGCGTGGGCCTCATCCTCTCAGTGTGGAGCCTCGTTCTCTTTTCAGTGATGGGAGCCTCGTTCTCCCCCTCAGTGGGAACCTCACCTCCCTCAGTGGAGCCTGGTCTTCCCCATCAGTGGGAGCTCGCTTCCCATCAGTGGGAGCTCGTCCTCCCCTCAGTGTGGGAGCCTCGTTGCCTCCCCCTCAGTGGGAACCTCATCCTCCCTCAGTGGAGCCTCGTTCTCCCCACGTGGGAGCCCGTCCCCCTCAGAGTGAACCTCGTCCTCCCCTTCAGTGTGGCTTCGTCCTCCCCTCAGTGTGGAGCCTCCTCGTCTCCCCCTCGGTGGGAGCTCTCCCTCCTCAGTGTGGAGCCTCGTCCTCCCTCAGCGTGGAGCCTTGTCCTCTCAGTGAGCCTGTCCTCCCCTCAGTGTGGGAGCTCGTCCTCAGCGTGGGAGCCCGTCCTCCCCTCAGTGTGGACCTATTCTCCCCTCAGCGTGGGAGCCCGTCCTCTCAGTGGGCCTTGTGCCCTCAGCGGGAGCCCGTCCCCCCTCAGTGGGAGCCTCGTCCTCCCTCAGAGTGGGAGCCTCGTCCTCCCCTCAGAGTGGAGCTTCCGTTCCTCCCATCAGTGGGAGCCTCGTTCTCTCAGGAGTTTGTCTCCCTCAGTGTGGAGCTTGTTCTCCCTCAGAGTGGAGCCTCGTCCTCCTCAGTGGGAGCCTCTTCCTCCCCTCAGGGAGCCTCGTCCTCCTCCTCAGCGTGGAGCCTCATCCTCCTCCCCTCAGTGGAGCCTCGTTCTTTCAGTGTGGGCCTCGTTCTCCCCTCAGTGTGAAACTCATCCTTCCCCTCGCCTCCCTCAGTGTGTGGAGCCTCGTCCTCCTCTCAGTGTGGAGCTCGTCCTCCCTCAGAGTGGAGCCTCGTCCTCCCTTCAGTGGGAGCCTCGTCCTCCCCTCAGTGTGGGAGCCTCATCCTCCTCCCTCTCAGCGTGGAGCCTCGTCCTCTCAGTGTGAGCCTCGTCCTCATCAGTGTGGAGCCTCGTCCTCTCAGTGTGGAGCCCCTCCCTCCCCTCAGTGTGGAGCCTCGTCCTCCTCTCCCCTCAGCGTGGAGCCTCATCCTCCTCCCCTCTAGTGAGCCTTGTTCTCCCTCAGTGTGGGAGCCTCGTCCTCCTCCTCAGTGTGGGAGCCTCGTGTTCCCTGAGTGAGCCTCGTGTCCCCTGAGTGGAGCCTCGTCCTCCCGCTCAGTGTGTGAGCCTCGTCCTCCCCTCAGTGTGGAGCCTTTTCCTCCCTCTCAGTGTGTGGAAGCCTCGTCCTCCACTTCCAGTGTGGGAGCCTCGTCCTCCTCTCTGTGTGTGGGCCTCTTCCTCCTCTCAGTGTGGAGCCTCGTCCTCCCCTCAGTGTGGAGCCTCGTCCTCCCCTCAGTGTGGAGCCTGTCCTCCCCTCAGTGTGGAGCCTCTCCTCGTCCTCCCCCTAGTGTGTGGAGCCTCGTCCTCCCTCAGTGAGCCTCGTCCTCCCCTCAGTGTGAGCCCGTCCTCCCCTTAGTGTGAGCCTCGTCCTCCCTCAGTGTGGGGCCTTTCCTCCTCTCAGTGTGAAGCCTCGTCCCTCAGTGTGGGAGCCTCGTCTCCCTCAGTGTGAGCCTCGTCCTCTCAGTGTGGGAGCCTTCGTCCTCCCCTTAGGGAGCCCGTCCTCAGTGTGGGAGCCTCGTCCTCCCCAGTGTGGAGCCCCGTCCTCCCCTCAGTGAGCCTCGTCCTCCTCCCTCAGTGTGGGAGCCTCGTCCTCCCCCTAGTGTGGGAGCCCTGCCCCTTCAGTGTGGAGCCTCGTCCTCCCTCAGTGTGGGAGCTCCCGTCCTCCCTCAGTGTGCCTCTCTCCCTCAGTGTGGCTCCCGTCCTCCCCTCAGTTCGTCCTCCCTCATCAGAGGTTTCGCTTTTCTCCTCATTTTGAGCCTCGTGTTTCTGAGGCCGCACATGATCGAGGGGTCGGGCCATGGGGACGTGCACAATATGACCTCTAAACCTATGGTCACCTGTGACCCTCGCTTCGCAGAAATGGGTCAACAGTCTCCCAGGTATTGCAGGGGAGTGAAACCTTGAGCCCGGGACGAGATACTTGGCATGAGGATGGTGCAGGGATGGGTATTGTCTAGATTGAGGGAGATGGGGGACGTCTAGATGAGGGGAGAAGAGATGGGGACGTCTAGGATGGGGGAGGAGGTGGGACGTCCAGATGAGGGAGAGGAGGTGTGGGACGTCTAGATGAGGGGAGAGATGGGGGGACGTGTGGGCTGGATGGGAGGAGGTGGGGACGTCTAGATGAGGAGAGGAGGTGGGGACGTCTAGATGAGGGGAGAGGAGGGTGTGTGGACGCTCTAGATGGAGAGAGGTGGGGACGTCTGGTGAGATGGTGGACGTCTAGATGAGGAGGAGGTGGGACGTCTAGATGGGGGAGGGAGTGTGGGACGTCTAGATGGGGGAGTGGGGACATCTAGATGGGGGAGAAGAATGGGGACGTCTGGATGGGGGAGGAGGAGGTGGGCATCTAGATGAGGGAGGGAAATGAGATGCACTTGGATAATGGTGGCGCTACATCAGGGAGACCATCCTATCAAAATTTCGTCAAATTGGCTAACTTTTCTTCCATTTCTTCGTTAACTTTAAAAGATTTCAAGATATTCTCAACTTTCTTTACTTTACCATTAAATTATGTTTTACTTTCTTAGTAAAATATTAAGAAACAAAAAATAAAACACAGAAAAATAAATAAAAATAAAATAATATAAAATAAGAAGAAAAAATATTAAAATTTATTGGACTAAAAATTGTCTTAAAGCGGATAATTTATATTCTTAATTTATCGTCGCCTGGCAATTTTTTTTCTTTAAGCATAAATTCTTTCGTTTAATTCCACGTTTCGTTAATCTGAATTACCTATCGTAAACATTAATGGTTTATTAATTACAACTAATATGCATCTATTTCCATTACATATTAATTGTTTTCATCGTTAATTTTGACAAGTCTTAGTATTTTCGTGTCTTAGGCTGTTTACTGACGCATACATATAGGTGTAAACAGAAGAACACAGATACACGAATAAACGGGTGAATAACGTGAGTAAAGAGATAGATAGATAGATAGGCAATGATAATATGGACACACACACACACACAGTATGTAGATTGGTCACTTGTTTCTGACAGATGCTTAAGGTACACACAGCCTCCCACCCTCCCTACCCATCCTTCCTACTCTCCTTCCTTCCTTCCCTTCCCATCCTTCCTACCCTCCTTCCTTCCCTCCCATCCTTCCTACCCTCCTCCTTCCCTCCCATCCTTCCTTCCTATCCTCCTTCTCTTCCCTCCCCATCCTTCCTACCCTCCCTCCTTCCTCCCCATCCTCCCTACCCTCTCTCCCTCCCTCCCTCCCTCTCTCTTCCATCCTTCCTCCTTCCCTCCCTCCTCCCATAGGCCCTCTACCTCTTCTCTATGTCCTTCTGCCATTCTCCTCACTCCTTCCTTTCACCCTAACCTCCCTCCCTCCTAGAACCATCACCACTAGTAGCAGTACTCACGAAGGTCTCACCTGGTGACTCATCCATAACAGTGACTCACCTGGTGACTCATCCATAACAGTGACTCACCTGGTGACTCATCCATAACAGTGACTCACCTGGTGACTCATCCATAACAGTGACTCACCCGAAGTGACTCATCTCCATAACAACGACTCACCCGAAGTGACTCATCCATAACAGTGACTAACCCGAGGTCACTCATCCATAACAACGACTCACCCGAAGTGACTCATCCATAACAGTGACTAACTGAGGTCACTATCCATAACAGTGACTCACCCGAAGTGACTCATCCATAACAGTGACTCACCCGAAGTGACTCATCCATAACAGTGACTCACCTGGTGACTATCCATAACAGTGACTCACCTGGTGACTCATCCATAACAGTGACTCACCTGGTGACTCATCCATAACAGTGACTCACCTGGTGACTCACCAGTGACTCATCCATAACAACGACTCACCCGAAGTGACTCATCCATAACAGTGACTAACCTGAGGTCACTATCCATAACAACGACTCACCCGAAGTGACTCATCCATAACAGTGACTAACTGAGGTCATTCATCCATAACAGTGACTCACCCGAAGTGACTCATCCATACAGTGACTCACCCGAAGTGTCTTATCCATAACAGTGACTCACCCGAAGTGACTCATCCATAACAGTGACTCACCCGAAGTGACTCATCAATAACAGTTACCACCCGAAATGACTCATCCATAACAGTGACTCACCCGAAGTGACTCATCCATAACAGTGACTCACCCGAAATAACTCATCCATAACAGTGACTCACCTGAAGTGACTCATCCATAACAGCGACTCACCCGAAGTAACTCATCCATAACAGTGACTCACCCGAAGTGACTCATCCATAACAGTGACTCACCCGATGACTCATCCATAACAGTGACTCACCTGAAGCGACTCATCCATAACAGTGACTCACCTGAAGTGACTCATCCATAACAGTGACTCACCTGATGACTCATCCATAACAGTGACTCACCTGAGTGACTCATCCATAACAGTGAATAAGGTAATATAATAACACAAATTTTAGTTATGGTGTTGATACAACGTGGTATCTGTTGATATGAGAACTGAACAACTACCATCACCCTTGTCTCTCTCTCTCTCTCTCTCTCTGGGGCTCTTCATTCCCACCACCATCACCATAACCATTCACCACGACCACTATCACCACCACCACCACTACCACCACACCACTTCACACACCCCACTACCACCACCACTTTAGCAAGAAAACAGTACAGTGTCAGGTAGTGGTGCTGTGTAGTGTGTCAGGTAGTGGTGCAAGGTGGGTCCAGCTTTAACCTTTGAGCACCATTAATCGTCATGTTTCCTGCAGTCCACCCTCTTATCTCCATTCCCCTAAATTCTCTCCTTATTTCTTTTCCGCCATCCTTGGCCCTTCTTCATTTCTTTTCATTTCGACTTTCTCTCGTCATATCTCTCTCTCGTCCTCTTATTCCCACCGCCTATCTGTTCTTTCTGTCTCATTTATTTACTTTTATTTCTTCTCTCTTCTTCTCCTTTATTTGTCCTCCTTCCTTTGTTCATCTCTCCCCCTGACCCTCTTTGTTTCTTTTCGTCCTCTCTCTCTCTCTCTCTCTCTCTCTCTCTCTCTCTCTCTCTCTCTGTCACATCCATCATTCCTTTCTCTCATTCTCTTTCCTTACCCCTTTCCTTTCTCTCTTACCTCCCCTTACCCTCTCCATTTCTCTCTTCCATTTCCCCTTTATCCCTTTCCATTCCTCCCTTACATTTTCCTTTTTCCTTTCCTCCTTTCTTTTTCTCTCACGCACCTCACTGTGGCCTCCGGCAAGGCGAGAACAACATCACATACTGGCTCAGAAACATGCTCCTTGCCGCTTTGGCTCTCTTCTTCCTTCTTCACCTTTTCTACCCCTTTCCGCCTCTCTTTCTTCTCTCCACCTCCACCACCTTTCTCTTCCTGGTGCCTCCTCTTCTCCTTCATCTTCTCCACCTCCCCTTCACTTTCCTGTTCCCCGTTCCTCCTCCACCTTCTCTTCCTCTCCACTTCCCTCTTTCTTTTCTTCTTCCCCCTCCTCCTCCTCCACCTCTCCTCACAGTTACACCTTGTAATCTTCCACCCTCCTTCCCACCTCTTCCGCAGACGTCGTTCGCCCTCCTCACCTCCCTGCCTGAACTGGCGCTCTTTACAGTGAGGTAATTGTTCTCCTGCCTCCTCCCCTCTTCCCCCATCCTTGGGG